TATTTTTTAAAGTTTACTAAGACTTTGTAATGTGTTTTTTCAAAACCACATTCTTTATACTGACACTCACTAAACAAACATGTTGAGTCAAGATACTGAAAAAGATAAATATATTTTTAAATAAAAAAGTGTGTTTGCACTAAAATCAAACAGCTTTTTAGTGCAAAAGTTGTAATTTGATGATCAGGCTCCGCTTACAGGGTGTGCGCCCAATCATCGCATGAGATCAATATGATATTAATATGATATCAAAAATTTCTCATACTGCGATATCAAATAATTATCTCAATATGATATCATTTAGATGTCATAACCATAGATAAACAAATTCAAGTATGGTTGTGATATCTTTATGAGATCATATTGAGATTACGTCTTGATATCGATCCATGAGAAATTTTTGATATCTAAATTACATTACATTGATATCAATTTTTGACAAAACACCACAACCTTGAGGTTGTGCTGTGTTGTTAAAAGTTGATATGAATGTGATGTGTTTTTGATATCAAAAGTTTCTTGAGGTTTGATAACAATCTCAATATGATCTCATGGAAGGTATGGCAAAAACCGGAAATTTAAAAAAAAAACCGGTTTTCGGTCTTTTTAAATTGTAAAACCGGGTAATCGGTTTTAGACCGGTTTTTTATTATAAAAGCAAATTTTTATTACAGCATAGTCATAAGAATAAAAGTCTGGAATAAAGGCCGTTTCTGTTGTTTTGCCATTTTATGTTGAAACTCGTATCATGATACGAGTTTTAACATAAAACAATAGAAACGGCCTTTATTTCCAGACTTTTATTCTTATGACTATGCTGTAATAAAAATTTGCTTTTATAATAAAAAAATTTATAATAAAATTTATAAAAAAATGTTTTAATAAAAAACTTTTAAAAACAATTTAAATTAAATCACAAACCAGTCTTCAGTTTAAACTCTTAATGACAGTAATGTTAAATAAAGTTTTGTTGAACACTGGTTTTGTGATTTAATTTAAATTGTTTTTAAAAATTTTTTATATAAATTATTTTTCTAAACTGTTAAGAAAAGATTATTTAGTTTTAAAAATCTTTTTTACATAGCTGAAGTAGTTATAAATAAGATTATATATATATATATATATATATATATATATATATATATATATATATATATATATATATATATATATATATATATATATAATCTTATTTATAACTACTTCAGCTATGTAAAAAAGATATATATATACACTCTAAGAAAAAATCCGTTATATACAACGAATTATATCTGTCGCTATTGCACTAACGGGAAATCCGTTAACTTAACAAATTAAAATTTTAACGGATTGAAGTCCGTTAGAAATAGTCCGTTGAATATACGGATTTATATCATTAGTGCAACGAATAATCCGTAGAAATTAAAGAGTTATTACACTAGGCAGCAAATTTTCCGCGGTTGTTATTCTTTTGAAATCACTATCTAAAATAAGAGAGGCCAGAATTGTGACCAAATAATCCTTATATTTGTTAATGTTAGCATTTTTATTTAATTGCATTTTATTTCGATATTCTACTTAAAATTGACTTAAAATTACTTAAAAAACCAAAAATTGAAAACTAATCAAATATTTATAATATTTAATCCAATATACTTTAAATTACAATAAAAATAGTTGAAAAAAAAATATTTTAGATACACTATATTCAAGCTATACTACAATAAAATACTAAGTATATTACAATACTAAGTATATAAAATACTAACAATACATTATACTAAGTATAACTTCAATAAAAATAGTTGAAAAAAATATTTTAAATACACTATACTCAAGCTAGTACATTTATATAAAACACACGCATATATATAATAGATGTTTAATATAAATCAATGCCAAGATATTAGTTTTTGGTCGATAGTTTTGGTTTGGTTGGTTTAAATAGGTTTTGGTTTTGAATATTGTTGTTACTTCTCTACAGGTTCAAATCGGACACCATCACAGGTTCAAATCGGACACCATACTGTCAACTCCTTAAAGATTAAATAATATAAAATAAATTAAGGAAAATACGGCAACTTAATAACATACCTAGTTTAAAACCAAAATAAAATGTTACTGATAATACTATAGATTTTTTTTTGCTAATTCATTATATATAAATTTCTATTCAAATTTTGTTATTTTGATAATATCTGTTATTGCTTTCTAAAGATAAAGTTAAATGGTACAAGTAAATTAAAATGTAAATTTAAAAAAAAGTATAAGATTACCTTGACACTATCTGATAACTGAAAGACATTTCACATACATCAATACCTGTCAGAAGCAAAAAATAAGGTCTCTAAAGTTTTAAAAACTATGATACATCAAAACAAGATTAAATATGCTGACCAAAATAACGCAAGTAACAATATAAAAAAATTAATTTTACAACTTATTTAAACTTACAGGGTCATACCACTTGTCACATGTTTAAAATAGCTAATTCTAAAAAAATAGTGAATATATAATATAGTAGAATAATAGTTAAAAAGTGTGATTTAAACATAGTCGTAACTAAATAAATATGCATGCGAAAAGAAATCCAAGTTAAAATATAATTTTTTTAAAATTTACTAATTCAAACATACAGTGGGATATCACAAGCCACGTGTCTAAAACAGTGAATTCTAAAATAATATAAACACGTCAGGTTAATAACTTTTTGTTATTATTAATAGTTGAAACTTAATTTAATAAATATGCACGCCAACAGAAATGCAATTTACAATATAAATTTTCCAACCAATTTAAACTTACAGTATGACAGCATATACCAAATATCTAAAATAGCAAATTCTAAAATAATATAAACAAGCCATACACAAACTTAGTTGTAATGTAATTATATAAACATGGAAGTCAAAAGAAATGCAAGTTAAAGTATAATTTTTTTAAATTTAATAATTCAAACTTACAGTGGGATACCACATGCCACGTGTCTAAAACAGCAAATTCTAAAATAATACAAACACATCAGATGTAAACTTAGTTGAAACTTAACTAAATAAATGCAAAAGTTACAGTATAAATTCTACGACCAACTTAAACCTACAATGTGACACTAAATGCCATGCCTCTAAAGCAGCAAGTTGTAAAATAGTATAAATAACTCATATATAACCTTAGTTGTAACTAAATTAAATAAACATGAATGTTAAAAGAAATAGAAGTTCCAATATAAATTTTTTAATTTTACAACTAGTTTTAACTTACAGTGGGATAACAAATGCCATGTGTCTAAAATAGAAAATTTTAAAATAATTTAAACACACCAGTATAAACTTAGTTTATGATATTGGATGCCACATGTTTAATTTAAAAATTAATAAAAATTGCAATTTATAAAAGCATATTAACTATCCATGTAAACTTAGCTGTTTAACTAACCTTTTACTACTAGTAAAGGATTAGTTGAACTATTATTTACATAATATAGACTATATGGATTGCATATATATGGATTGCATATATATCTATCTAGAAAATTATGCAAGAATATATATATATATATATATATATATATATATATATATATATATATATATATATATATATATATATATATATATATTCTTGCATAATTTTCTAGATTTAAACATGTAGTAACTTACCATATCTGACATGTGTTAACTTACCAAATATGTTATTGTATATTATTTAGTAATACTAATGGCTTTAATATATCATATAAAAACAATTTAAAATAGATTCATTGCTTTAAAGCATTGTTAATTTAAAATAAACCTTATTGTTAAATTTTCTATATAAAGCTTTATATAGAAAATTTAAAATAAGTTAAATAACCTTCGAAATTACACATAACATAGCGTAATTTAAATTATATTTATTCATTTGCTTTTAAACAAAGCATTTGTCTACTAAATGTAAAGACTTTTAAAAAATGGCACATTACTCTTACTGCATCCAAGTTTTATCTACGATGTAAATGTAAATGTGAGAAAAACGCATTCAAAACTTTATCATTTTCAAAATAAAAAGCTATAATATACTGAAAAACCTACCTACTAAAATAATTTATCAAACGATTAACAAAATAAGATGCTCCTCATAATGACACTAGTCACTACAATGCGCGCTTTATAATGAATTTTTACTTTACGGCAAGTAATTTATTTGTCGATGGACAACTTAGTTAACAGGGAAACAAGTTAGTTACTAGGAAAAATAAAGGTAAATTAGTAAAATAAAGTAAATTGATGCTGACCAGTGCCGTACTATCGCAAGTGCAACAAGTGCAATCGCACTGGGCCCCCTATTAAATACATTAGAAAAACTTCTCCAATACCATAAATTACTACGAATTGAAAGAAAAAAAATTTTATTTTAGTTTCTGCACAGGGCCCCCAAAAGTTACAGCACGGCGCTGATGCTGACGTATGCACAGAGGATAGTTTCCCCCCCCCCTAACTATCTCAAATTTAAATTCTATAGTTAAATATTATACTATACTTTGCTTTTGTAGTTTTAGTGCTATAACAATTTTTTTGAAAATTTGAGATCGTCGAAAAGTTTCGTATACAAAACTTTTTTTTTTCAAGATCACAACTTTTAAAAAATTGTTAAGGGAAATGTTTTTTCATTATATAGTTTGTTTTTGTTTACTCATTTGAGATTTGTGTTTTTAATTTATTTGGAACCAAATAGGAAAGAAAAAATGTTGAGGCACTATATTCCCACTAAATTGCATTATGACAAATTCAAGACTTTCCTGTTTTACATTTTTCAAAGATTTATTTATTTCATTATTTCAAGCACTTCTAACATAATCTAATAACTTATTTTGTATGATCTTTTTTCTATAACCACAGCTGCACATTAGTAAAAATAATAAAGCTCAGGGATAAAAAAAAACAATGAAAAAATATCTAGTTGACAAAAAATTATATATTTAAATAATTTAAATTTTAATATAATTATATAAATAAGATTATAGATAACAGTTTAAAATTCTAAAATTTCCACTAAAAAGAGTCTCTTTTGAGCTTTTTTCTTTCAGTTTAAAAAAAGATATCAAGATAGATTAAATCAATAAAATAAAAACATATTTGTTAGAGATAAAAAAATCAGAAACTATTACTTGAATACATTGTATATTTTAGTAAACTAGCCAGTAGTTCAATTACACATTTAGGCTTTTTTCCAGTGTCAAGATCATAATGAGTCTGAATGAACTGCCAAAAATAATCAGAAATTGGATCATATTGAATATTGAAACACCAGTAAAGTTTAAGCATTCGATCTATACCTTCCGTTATAGATTTGCCTGCATTGATTATTTTTTTTTCATATGCAATGTTTATTGATAAAATAGTTTCGCCTTCCTGCCCTTGTATTAACAAAACAGGATATGGGTTCTCAAGATTTTCTGCGAAAAATGCAATCGACTCACCGACCTAAATATTAAAATGTTATTTTTTAATGCTTGACAATAAAAATTATTAGAGATAGTGGCTTTTTCATTTTATTGCAAATCAAGTATCTGGTGGTCATACTTCTCAAATACGCTGTATGAACATTTTTAACATAAAAAAATTATTTTATAGAGGTAATACTTACATTGCATATCATAATGTGTTCCATTATCTCAGGGGCAGATTTCCTTTGCTTTCCTCCTTTCCGTAATAAATAGCATAACATTTTGCATGCATTATACACTCGCCAATCTAGATAATAAATCATGACGTTTTCAAAAAAAGTTTTCTTAGGCATACCATTTTCAATAGTATGCTTGAAAAAAAATGAAAAAAAAATTGAATATAAACATAGTATACCATCATTACTCTGGTTAGGTGCATTGACTAGGTTTGTCAGATAACTAACTTTCATTAGTCCACAATACTGATAAAGTGGCTGAACAGTTTTATTCAAAAATGTATCCAATAAATGTGGCTTACATATAGGATATTTGGTTGAAAATTCAATATCAATCTAAAAACGTCATTATTATATCAGAAAAAATTATCAACTAGATAAGACATTTATCGAAAAAAAAGCAGGGTATATATATAATCAAATAAAAATATAATCATATAGTACAAACTAAGTAGAGAAAATATTTAATGTCATTGTTGAATATATTCGTTGCACATAGAAAAGTTAAATGTATGTTTGTACAAATAAAATTTTAGCAAATACAGAATAATACCAATTCAGGAATTAATGCAAATTTAGGATAATTTTTTATAATCGTAGACAAGACTGGTTTCTCATCTGCAACCCATGTCTGTCGCAAACAAAAAGTAGATTGTGTACATCGTTTTACTTCCTCGACTCTGATGGAGGCAAGATATCTTAGTTTGTCAACATCTTCAATGTTTGAAACACCTATGTAAAAGTCAAATGTTGTTTTAAATTTTTTACCTTCATCTAATAATTTGCAAATGAAATTAAAATAAAATCTAAGAAAACCAATTCATTAGATTCCATTATTTAAAACTTAGTATCCATGTTCATAAACTTCCAAAATGAAAACAAACCTCCACATATCAAACAATCCGCCAAGCCACGAGGACATCCTTCTTTCCATTTTTTTGAGCAAGAAGCTTCTTCTGTTTCTTCAGTAAAAACCCTGGAAACAGTAGAATCAGGTATTTTGATTTTAACTGCTTCCCTTTTTTGTGACCAGGTATGCTTTTTAGCTGAAGCTAAATAAAAATTGGTAAGACTTTCTTAATTTTACAAAAGGCTAATGCATTAATCAAGAACCATTTAATTTATAATTTGTGGTGCCACTTGATTATGAGCCAATTGCTCCACATAAGTTGGGGCAAATACTAAAAGACTATACATTATAACACCATAGTTATAATACAATTTTAAATGTTACGTGATAACATTAAAATAAGAGACACAGTTTAAAAATAAGTTCAAATGTTTTGTTAATAATATGATTATTATTAAATACTCACGCAATAACTTTCTCCTTGCATTTTCCAGAGCCCTGTCAAGATACCCATTATAACTTACAGGATCATAAAAAATTCTGCTTGGCAATCCAAGAGTTTCACCTAGCAATACTGCAACATTGCTTTTTTGAAATTTGTTTGGATAGTTTCCATATAAGCAAACCATTTTGTGCATAACAACTCTAACAATATGTTGTCTTGCATTGCAATTGACATTGAAATTATTTATTTCATTCATATATTGTAAGGTATTCTATTTGAAAAAATGAAATTTTGTTAAGTAAAAACAAATTATAATAAAATTTAGACAGTTAACATAAACAATTAATACTGTAATATAAAGGACATGGTAAACAATGAAACTTTATATTATTTAAAAAATGCACTCACTGGATGTTGTGCTAGGTAAGCCTTTAACGCATTTGAACAAGAAAATGTATCATCCTGACTCAATATCGTTTGGCCGGTAAAGACAAATGCTTTATTGGTATCAAAACAGTCCTCTTTAATACATGCAGAACTGCAAACCTCAGGGGTTAACACAGCCTGTGTAACATATTATTTATAAAAAAACAAATCAAAAATAAATAAATGGATTTAAATTATTAAAGAAAATTGAAAATAACTTGCTTACCAAGTTGTTAGGTACCCATTTCTCATCATTGACAAGCACTGTAATAGTTGTACCGCTATCAGAAAAATGTTTCAACACTTCGTAGTCAAAATCATCAATTTCTGTTCCATCGGTTTGAAATGCAAATTTAAGATCATTTCCTGACAACAAACCAAATTTACTGGCAACTACAATTAGAAATGACAACACATTTATAAACTGTAGAGGAACAAAACATTGATAAAATAGTATCTATTTATCAAATATAAATAATTATTTCACCCTTAGTAAGGAAGTCTTCATCTTTCTTTAGCAAAACTATTTTTTTTTTGGATTGATCAACAGACCATATTTTCAAAATAAGAGACATTCTATATATATCAGTCAGAAATGATATAAACTAAAACAGATATCAATGTTTTCAAAATCATTTCTATATATATATATTCAAAATCATTTTATATATATATAAATTTTATAGTATGTTATAGTACAGGGTTCCCACAGAAAAAAAAAACACCTTATTCCAAGACTTTTCAGGACCATTTTCTAATTTGTTAGTAATGTTTAAGAAAAAATGCCAGGTCTTTCCAGGACACTAGTCTCTCCTGGACTGTGGGGACCCTGTAGCATATAGTATTAAAAAACAACATCTTCATATAATAAATATTTAAAGCAAACTAAAAGAGTTTTGCTATAATGCACTACTATGTAATCAATATGCAGTTTTTCTTAATAAGCGGTGAAATTATTTAATAATAAAATTACAATGGCTAACAATAACAATTAAAAAATTCTGTAACGTGTGCCGATAAACATTTGGTCACATAAGTTAGTAATGTTATAAGGATGATAATCTTTACAACTATCTGCATTGATAACAATATTTTTACACAAAATTTCATTTCTTTGTACCACATAAGCATAAAAATGCTCATTAAAATTTATTGTTTCTAGTGGATTCAGCACCAAAAAAGATTTAGGTGCAATATAAACAATACAGAGCAGCTCTCCAAATTGTGGATAACCTTCTACTACATCATGACACAAAATGCAACCTAATTTGATTAGATATGATCCAAAAGTAATCGAACAAGAAACATAAACTTCATCAAATATATTCAAGTTTAATGATTCACATATGATGCTTCCGATTTCCACATGCAAATTTCCAATAATAACTTTATCACATTTACCCAGCTGTTTAATATCTGAATATAATGATCGACTAAATAAGCAATTAGCAAGTTTTAATTGGTATCGATGCATGACAGAGTAACAGATGTTTTTAAAGTTACATATAACTGAAGAAAGTTCTTTAGCAAAACGATGTTTTGCCTCAAATCGCATACACCAATATCTACTCAAAGGTCCAAACTTAGCCATACACTCTGGATAATGCAGCATAAAGTGATGCTTTGGGATTAACCTGCTTTCTGGGTAAACTGATTTAAAGTAGCAATGATGCTCTTCAATTAAAAATTCAAGCTGAGTAATAAGACCATCTGTAATTGCTGGAGCAAAAATAATATCTAAACAACGTAATAACAGAATTAAAAGTTTCCAGTGGGGTTCTTCATCTGGAATATATTTTCCGATCATGAGAGGCAAATTCCGTATTAGGCACCATGATTCAGCAGCTTGAATGCATATATTTTGAAGATTTATTTCTGGTGGTTTGCTATTTTTGTCTGCCAAGGAGTAATTAAAATTATTTATAGCATTATTTATATCTAAAATGGATATAATTTTTTTCTCTGTCAGAGTCCGTAACACTAGGCATATTTCTAATGGCACTACCCCTTCCAGCAAATCATGCATACAATCAACAGCACTTTGTTCTACACAGTGAAACCAGTTGAGACAGTTAAAAGAACAACCATGTTTTATGCCAGTTTTAGAAGGATCATAATCAGTTGGTTGAGATTCAACTATACACCGATTGTAGTCAGCTATTGTTCGCTTTTCAAAAGCTATTGACCTAAAGGTTTCTTGCAATTCAGTTTGAGTACATTTACAAAAACGACAAAAATATGTTGCACGAAAACTTTCCATAAAACCAAATAAAGAATGTGCTCCTAAATTATCTGCTGAAAAAATGACAATTATCGCATGAATAGTTATTTCCTTTCCATTTACTTTAACTTGAACCCCTTGCTCACTTTCTAATTCTTGAAGCTGACACAAAACATTTTTTAAAACATTGTCATACGAGTAGCTTGTAATATGTGCATCTAAAGCATACCACAGTCCAATCAAATAAATGCTGTCTGTCTTAGACTGATATTCTGGCAAAACATTTCGAACTTGCATGTATAAAGCCTCAAGTTTATGGACAATCGTGTGACTTCCTAACACATTTGTGACTTCAAATGCATCAATAAAAAAATGTAGTAAAAACGTTTTTGGAAATTTTTGGAGAAAAGGATGATTG